GTTGAGAGTCCGCCTGCCGATGCAGGGGACGCGGGTTCGTGCCCCGGTCCGGGAAGATCCCACATGCCGCGGAGCGGCTGGGCCCGTGAGCCATGGCCGCTGAGCCTGCGCGTCCGGAGCCTGTGCTCCGCAAATGGGAGAGGCCACAACAGTGAGAGGCCCGCATAACGCAAGAAAAAAAAAAAAAAAAAAAAGTTGTTCACTAGCATACAGCAAGGGCCATCGATGAGATTCAAACCCAGTGCTTCTCAACTCCAAACTATGCTGTCAATGGCGTAAGTGGAAGAGAAATGGTCCCATAAAGTTGCGTAAAAAGGCAGTTAACTGAAACAAAGATGGGGTAAAAAAAAAAAAAAAAAAAAATCTAAAGCTTTGAGGTGAATAGTCCAAATCAGTTATCCAGACTGAAACAGCTCTGGAGGGAAGGAAGGTTATTCCTTAAAGCCTCCTCAGCCTGCTAGATGTATCACTGAAGAACACTCAATCCCCTTTGATTTAATTCAATACCCACCGAAACTTCACATCTTTAATTTGATCTCCCGGGGATGCCTTTCCACCAGGAGGAAGTACCTTGTGCATATGACCAGGGCTGGTCAGCTGCCAGCTTTAGTCTCTGGGATAAAACATCAGCTTGGTCAGGTGGAGGACATTTAGCCTCTGCTGAGTGGAGTTAGTTCCTATATAGGAATCAGTTCCTATGAAGATCAGCTCTGAATTAACTAAAATGGCATTTCCGATCTTAAAAAACCAAGGACCCAGTCCTGGGTCTTCAGTGACTTCCATCAACGTGTATACATAGCCTAGAGGGTTCACCTTGAAACAGCCTACCGGGCTCTCTAGCCACCTTAATCACATCAATAAAGGAGCACTTTTAATGAGTGACATTGAGATGATCACATTGCATACGCACCGTCTGGCCAAATTATCTCTATGGGATGAATGCAGAGTGTCACAACAGCCCATGCCATATTCGATAAGCCGTTAGCTAGTTTTAAAAATTAATCAGATGAAACAGACTTATGGTTACCAAAGGGGATAGCAGGGCTGTGGGGGAGAGAGATATTAGGAGTTTGGGATTAACATATACACACTACTGAATATAAAATAGGTAAACAACAAGGACCTACCATATAGCACAAGGAACTATACTCAATATCTTGTAATAACCTATCATGGAAAAGAACCTGAAAAAGAATATATATATTATATATGAATATATATTTTATATATATATATATATATATATATAAAACGGAATCACTTTTTTGTACCCTTGAAACTAACACAACATTGTAAATTTACTAAACTTTGATAAAAAATTTTTTTTTAATTAATCAGATGAATCCTCTACCCAGAGGGGCTCTGGAGGAGAATCCATGAAGCTTTAAAGAATTACGTGCCCACAGTCCCCTTCTCAGGAAAGCCACTCCTAGAGATTCTATCTGTAAACAATCTGCCATGGCACATAGCTTGTGCATTGAATGAAGGCAATGTCGCCTCGTTGGCCTCAGCTGATGAGAACAGAAGCCTGTTAGTCACAGTGAGGCGCAGGTAAAAAAACGACCATGTTGTCTATGACGGAGCCCATCTCCTTCTGGGGCCACTTGGCCTGAAGCTCTATGCCCATCAGGGGAGCTCCTGATTGGATAATGACAAAGCGACCTAGTTAGACTCTCTCTTAGGAAGAGGCAATACTCAGTGGACAAAGAGAACATGGGCTGTTCCAGATCAAGTGAGTAGCTGGGCCAGGTCTCATGAGGTGCCTAACACTTGGGAGGCTTAGAAAGCATAGCTACCCCTCTGCACAGCTTACTCTTTGCAATGAGCTCAACATTGCCCTCAAAAATGTGACTTCCAGGGCTTCCCTGGTGGCACAGTGGTTAAGAATCCTCCTGCCAATGCAGGGGACACGGGTTCGAGCCCTGGTCCAGGAAGATCCCACATGCTGTGGGGCAACTAAACTACTGAGCCTGCGCCCTAGAGCCTGCAAGCTACAACTACTGAGCCCACGCACCTAGAGCCCATGCTTTGCAACAAGAGAAGCCACCGCAACGAGAAGCCCACGCCCCGCAACAAAGAGTAACCCCAGCTCACTGCAACTAGAGAAAGCACACGTGCAGCAACGAAGACCCAACGCAGCCAAAAATAAATTTTAAAAAAGTGTGATTTCCAAAACCTAATACAGAGTCTGCTTCTGCAATTTTATACTTGAAGTTGCCCTTTGCAGAACTTAGATTAAACTGAAAAATTTCTTGACACTTATTTGCAAACACCAAATATCTCAGTCATTAGAATCTATTATCTACTTAAGTTGGTTTTTTCTCCTTAACTTATTTATCACCTATTAGGGACACCGTGCAAAGAGCAATGAAGAGTAGGATCGTTTCCCCAGCCAGGAATTGTG